CATACTACGGAGCCGGTATGTCTGACGGCGTAAATACCGGTGTTCGGCCCTATGTGTATGAATTATACAGACAGTAAGCGTCTGTGAATACAATCAGAGACAATGGAATTTTTAGCCGCATTAGCCGTGGATTTTACTAACAAGGAAAGGTGCATTCGGAAAGGCGATTTCACAATATGTAGAGTGCATGGGAGGAGCTATGCTAATGGAGCAGAGTCTGTCACCAGTCATGGGCGGGGCCTGTTCCAATGTGGCGTCATGTTGGATAGAAAATGCGACCGATTTAGGATTTATGGGGCGTATAAAAAAAAAAATAAAAATTAAAAGGAGTGGGTGGACCATTTTGACCATTTTAGGGTGCTTGTGTACACACAAACTACCGACACATTTATGTTCAAACACCATGTAAAAGTAAATTTTGCATACTAGGTCCCCTTTAAAGAACAGTCGAATGTTTAAAAGAAGCACTGTTAAGGTTATCCAGCTGGAGTTGGTTCATATATTTCTTAGCATTTTTGTCACTAGTCAAAAAAACCAAGAAAACTCGACCTTCTTTTTTGGAATTGTTTCCTTTCTACTAAATCTGCACATGTCTTGACCTTCCTGTCTGCCCACATCGCTGAATAAATGCTGTTCTTTGCCCTTGTTGCTGCTGTTTGCGAACACCCCTATGCCTGAGGTTTCGCTCAGAACCTCAGTAGTGAATCTACTGCTGCTGCTAATTTGGTCCATTTGATGTCTTAATGGTGCGGGTTCTTCCGTTAAACCATCTGTGGCACAGCACTTTGTATAGTTTGGAGCTCGGAGGAATGTTGACGTGCTTGGAGAAGAATTCCTTCTGCTGCTTTAAAGCAGGGAAAGATGTTCTAGGTGCGCTGACTTCTTAAAAACTCTTCTCTTTTTCTTCTTCTTAAATAAGCGTGGGTTTGATTCTAGCGTGTAGCCGATGTGATTTATGTGTTTTTCTTTCTTTCTGGAGCTCTTCTGTTCTTGATTGTTTTTTTTAAGTCTCCCAAAGAGCTCTCAGGCCTGTAAAAACTAGCGCTGTGGAGTAATCTCCAGCGAGCAGGCTGCTCATGTCAGCCAAACACGAACCAAATGGCTCTTATTTATCTCAGGTTTTTCCAGCGTATGTTCACTCATCAACAGACTTTTAACAGACTACTGTTTGATAGAGCAGTGGATGATGGAGGGAATCCAATCTGCCTGCCAAGCTGCTCAGATCTGTGATGTGTTTTTTTGTTGGTTTTTTTTTGCAACTCGTATGGAGAATAAATCCTGACAGCTTGGGAAATGATGATATTTAATACTCTGTTGTGTAATACTGAGATTGTAGTGCTGCGGCTGTTTGTCTTGGTTTTTGACCGTCTGACGTGTATTCAATCACACTTACAAACGTTATAGCCTTGCGATAGGAAAAATCCATCCTGAAACAAGTTTTCGCCAACGGTCGAATCGAGAAATCTGTCCTTAACCTTGATTTCATTCTAACGAAACGCAAGATCGACAGCAGCAATCCAACCTGGCAACGCAAACGACTCCTCGACAGCGCCGGTACGAGGAAAAGCGTGCAGGAATCTCGCACAGCACTTTTTTACCCAAGTCAACGAGTCATGAACGTCTTGCGGTGTGTCGGTGTATTTCGTACATTCGTCTAGCAGCATGGTCCTCGCAGAAAGCAGAGAAACGCGGTAAGATTGCGGTTTACGTCACCCTTGCGACCGAGCATGGCGCTGTAAAATTTAATAGAAGCATTTGGTTAAATAATTCTAGATTAAAAGGCACTTTCTTCCATTGTCCTCTTATTTAACTGACTACTGTCGGGCACCAACGATCAGCTTTTAGCCGTTTAGGGTTGTAAGTCGTTGTTGGTGAAGCCTGGCAAGATCAGATTAACGTTTGTTTTTGTACACACGTGCAAAACGTCGTCGGAAATCTTAACCTCAGCTCTCAGTGTGCCAGTGTGTAAATACTGATTATTATAAAAATGCGTAACATAATGAGGAATCTGGGATGGATGCTTTATATAAACAGATTTAAAAGAGAGCATATATATATATATATATATATATATATATATATATATATATATATATATATATATATGATTAACTGTGTTTCACTGAAAAAAATATTTCTATGCACAGCCCAGCTTTTCTAGAGGGAACAGCACTGGGACGCCCCACGGAGTTGTTCTGCATCTCAGTGTTTCGTTCATCTGTTTAACTACCCCCACCCCCCCGGCCTCTCGGGAGCTGATAAACAATGTCCGTCAGCCAGGCCAAGCCAACAGCCCGTCCCGTCCCAGCAAAGCATGTTGGGAAGGGAGGGAGCGTTTTCCTGCCCCTGATTTGCATTATGGCTCTGACGTTGTAATGAAAGGGTGAAGCATGCAGCGCAGAACAGTATTATAAAGCGCATACACGTTGTCATTATTAGCACCACACAGTGTGATTTAAATATAGCCCAGACTCTCCAGAGGATAACCGAAGAGATTTGTCATTTCCAAGTACAGTCATTAAGTAACGCTAGGGCGTCTTTCCATGTCTCAGCTCTAGGGGAAGAGATGGCGATGGAGCCTCCCACAGTAATAACAGGCCCTTGTTGTTGTGACATTCACGTCTGAAATAAGCCTGCCTGGCAGGTCCGACGTGGTCCCGCATCACTCCAGGACTCTTAGGACACGGAAGCAGGGTTGCCGAGTCTGCATGACGAACCCAGCCCATTTCCAAAGCGAAAAATGTGTTTAAGGGTAACAGTTGGTTAACACCCTGCCACAGACACTATTAAACATGAAATCATGACTACTGTTGACAGATATTTTAACAAAGTGGCAATAAATGATCACCAAAGCAGTATTGTAACCCCAGACAAGTAGTTCTCTTTGTTTATCATTTTAATGGGCTTAATTTTTTTTAACTGGATACATTGTTGTAAATCGTTGGCAATGAAACGGCATGAAAAACTCTGAGACTCTGCGATTTTAAACCTTGATCGATTGGTTTCAAATTGTACAACTAGCAATGAGTTAATGTGATTTTAGTTAAAAAAAAAAAAAAAAGACAACGTTTACCATTGAGTTTAAATAGCGGGGTTTTTTTGGGGGGGGGTCAGTGAACCACTGTTCATCAACGTGCGAGTGCGAAAAAGACCTCCCAAAAAAGGTTGTGCGTATTTTTGAATTCGCTTTGGCTGCTGAAAACATTTACAGCTTTTACTAAAACAGGCTCGTTGTCATAAATACGAATTGTGATGAGAATAATCCGTAAAAAAGCACACTCGGATTCAGTCCGTCGTTTCATTTCATACGCATCCGCTACGTGCTACAGTGTTATTTGTACAGCTGCACCATTTCACCTCCATTTTAATCGTGTATAATCATGTATCATAGTCCAAAATACAGCATACAACAGTGGGAAAGGATAAACGTTTTAATCTGACCCACCGAAGACATTTAGAATCGGCGTTCTCTAGTATAAACGTCGGACTGTAACCGAATTGAACACATTTGAAAGCGGACTAGTCTCTGTTGTTCCACTAGGGATAGAAAATGTTAAGCTGTAACCCTGTCTCTTTTCCATAAGAACTACTTTAGGGGTTTCACACCAATCTGGCTGAACACTTTATCACAACTTTTTACATTTTGTATTTGTAAATAAACTATGTTGACGCCCACTCTTACTAAACTGAAAATCCAGCCCACTTGTCATTGACAGTGGATCGCTGATAGCCACCTTAGTCAGTGTTTACTTTCTGTTTCAGTGGCTGAAACTGAAGGGAGGGTTGTGTTGTATGAGTGTGTGTGAGAGAGAGAGAGAGATAGATGGAGAAAAGATGAGTGCATGCCAAGTAGATTAAGATAACAGCACAATATTGAGATTATCCGATGCGCTGACATCACCTTATTTGTAATGATCGTAAATGTGTCAAGTATTATAATAAACTGCTTTTGGCAGATTTGGCCACCGACAAAATGCGATCCCGAAGTTGATTCACGGCTGATTTAATCCCGATCGTAATACCAAACCAGAACCGTCGCAGTCTCGACAGCATGAAAGGGTTTTTTTTTTTTTTTCCCGTTCCCTGTTTGTCAGAACTCGGACTGCTTAATAAAACCGGAGCGCGTTGTGCGTTCCGACATGCCTCAGCCTGTCGGGCTGACACAAGCCTGTCCTAGTAGTGGACCACACCTCGGTGCGCAGGGCGATGGAAGAAATGAGCTCATATATACCTGCGAAACCTGACTGTTCAGCCGCGTTTCCGCCAAAATTTCCCGGAACAGTTTGTCCCAGGAGGCTTTTTCAAGGGACCATTTGGTTCCTCCAGACCTTTTGTTGTCGGCGTTTCCATCACGGTTCAAAGTACCGTGAACATCAGGCAAATTATTCGGGTGGTGTATGACTGCACGCGACAAGCCCTTGGCGAGGATATGAAGCCTCAAAGTATGCTACGTTCAGACTGATTATTGACACTAGAGCTCGATAATCATCGATTATGAAAATCGTTGTCAACGTTCTGGATTAGTCGGTCTGCGCGGCACGGGGCATGTTTACTCACTACGTTCCGTCTCTTCCGAAAACATTCCTCGGAGAGTAAATACTAAAGTTGTGTCCCAAGTAAAGTACTGTACGCTTACACTGTGCACTACCGTCTAGTGTGTGGAATTTAGAAAGGTAATATCATCTCAAATATATCACTAGAGGGTTTTCTTTACTTGACGGCGCAGGATGTCATACGCACGCTAGCATCAGCAGATACCCAGAGTCACCGATAATGACTTTCTTCAGTTTACTTTTGTCGTCGTTATCCAACATTCCCAACATGCTCTCAGTCTCCATCAGACAGGAGAAATCGTCAGCCCTAATAGTTGCAGCCCTAATTGACGCAAAGTAATCTGATTTTAATGATGTAGAATGTTTGCTCGGCTCATAAAACACATAGCAGGCTCTGATTGGAATGCGAACATTTGAACAGTAATAAAAGCTCGTGGGAAAGATACGAAGCTGGTGGTGAAGTGGTTAGGATTCGGCGTGCTCACTGCCGCGGCACGGGTTCGATTCCCGGTCAGGGATTGAAGTTTTTTGGATAATAGTTTGTGTTTTCTGAAATCTGATCGCGACACTGCAACAAGAAGCATGGAGGAGATTCAAACTGTGCTGCTGTCGATTGTGATGTATTGAGAGGTCATTGAGAAAACGCTGGAAAAGAGTCGAGAAGCGGTAGTAAAGCGAATTCAGAATGCTCGTAATGCTAGACTTGAAGTAATCACACGGATTTTATCAGCTAGCGCGGAGACGAACGGGCGCGTAGTCTCTGAACTTTGGAAAAAGTACCACCTCTGAAGTAGGGATTTTCTGAGGGGGAAATATTTTACCCGGAATTTTATTTATACCCTGGTCCCTGCAGTGGAAACCCGCCGAATATCTCCAAAAGTCCCTAGTTCCTGGGGAAAGTTCCTGCGGTGGAAATGTGGCTTTTGTCCCAGAATGGGGTTTTCCATTGATTTAATTTTATAAAAAAAAAAAAAAAAAAAGAAAAGCGTGAAGATTTTTTAGGTTTGGAGATGAGATGAGATGGAAAAGTTCTATCAAGAGAGATCCGCCAAAGACCGCTGCCAACAACAACTTCCTGTTTAGCACCAGCTTCACCAAACAACCCTTTGGCACTAAACAGGAAGTTGTTGCAGGCAGCAGTAATTAAGGCGAGGTTACTCGGTTATTGTTTGAGGGATCGACTGTGTGTGTGTTTTTGTTCTGAATTCTGAAAGCTGTTCGTGTGCTTATTTTTGAGATCGCAAAACAAACCCCAGCTGATTTTTAACTTGTAGTTTCATTGGACTTGTTGCGATTTGAAAATGAAATGTGATCTGATTCCACGTGTTGATGTATTTCCTTCCGAAACAGGAAGTCCGAGCGAAGTACTTAACACACTTGCGCAACATCCAAATAGCCTCAACACCACCAGCAAATCTAAACAAGCCTGTTATTTTCTGATTAAAGAGAATCCTCAACGGTTTCTAATGTCAAAATCGCCTTGTTGCTGTCATTTAACTGTGACCTCATGCAAATTCCACCCTCTTCCACGGAAGCTACAGCTACCAGTATGAAGCTTATGAAAATAACTCGATTGTTGGTTGTGTTTTCAGTTTTCTGCCGTTTTAATAAATGAAGTGCATTCACACGTAGTTGCCATGTTGTCGCAAATTCTCCTTCTGAGCCATTGCTGTTATTTATTTATTTATTTATTTTTAATTAAAACTGAGCGGTGGTGTTAATTCATCAGTCCTGGTTTGATGCTTAAAGAAGTAGATGCTTGTTGCTTAATTAACTCTGCAGGGCAGTTATGTTCCTGATTTAATTCTGATAGTCGAGCTGGAACCAGCAGATGTGTAGACGCGGTACGTCCTCACACACACAAATAACCGTGAACGTGATGAGGTATTATTAGAGTAGCCTTTATAATAAAGTTTAAATCCAGCGCTGTCCCAAACTGCATGCATTCAGTCCTACGGGTCACTCACTGTTATCCCTCTCAGCTAGTTTAGAGCTGTGCAGCGGTCAAGCCAGACTCGTTTTCAGGTGATACCGAGGCTAGAGTTGAACATGGCATGAAAAACCTCCTAGACTTTGCTTTGGTCATTCATTGAGCATTAAGTACGGCTCTGTTGATGGACATGAGTAGAGTTCATGGGAAGAATACACATGACTGTTCTCAATTACAGCCTGAAACCACAAGTCCAGACGTTTTTATTGCAAATCAGTACTTATTCATGCAGAGTTGATCAAACTCGCAGTTCAAAGGGATTAGTCATCTGCAGACTTTTAGACACTGCATCAGCGTTAACGTCTGTCTGAGTGTTAACGTCTGCTTAATAAGTAACCCCACGCTGTAACCCAGGGTTAATATCCTGGCTGTTAGACATACAGCTGTGCTCCGCTGCTTACACTTCCAATAGCAAGTGGTTGAAAAGGACGGCGCGACAGTCCTCTTTCAAAAGAAGGAGGAAATGGCTTTTGGATGGAGCGGGTTGGCTTTTTGGATTTGGAGTTGGAGCTCAGCCCACTGACTCGTCCAGCTGCGTCACTATGGAAACTGCCAGTAAATCTGCAGAAGTATTCCCATTCTTGTCTTGGCAGCAAACCTTAGCTTGGCATGGCTTCTTGCTCTGACTGCGTCATGCCCGGACTAGCGGAAGGAGCTGATGAGTGCACCACGGACCAGATAAAGTGCTGACCTCAGGTCAGATTTGTGGCGTTCGTGGTTGTCATTGTGTTTAGGTGTTGAATTGGCAGTGCTGTTTCTGGATCAGCAAGAAACGGTGACGAATTAAAGGGGAGAAAAACAATACAGGTCACCAAACAGCTTGGCAGGAATTGTACTGAGATGAACTCCATTCTTCCACAAGTTGGTGACGGGGTGGTGGTGGTGGAGACGCTTCCTAAGATCTCCCATAACTGTTCACCTGGACTGAGATCTGGTGATTGTAAAGACATATATTTGACATGATTGATTGTCATCCTCGTCGAGCCGTTCAGTCCGTCTTGTGCAGTGTAGGAGGGAGAGTGGTCATCTTGGAACAGACCACGCCCATCAGGATAGTCTATGGCTTGTAAAGTGTCTCAGCCCATGCTTGTTCAGTCGTGTGCATTTGAATAAAGATTTCGGCTGCACCACAGGACAACGTTCACGTTTAAAGGAAAGTGCTATCTGCGGCATACATGAGCTCACAGACGCCTACGATTGGCTAGTGCGGCTATGATTGGCAAGGGAGAGAGTTCCCCTGTTGGTTCTGTATAAATCCTACAAATATTCACCACTCATTCTTGAGTCATAGCGCTAACAAGAGTCTTGGATGGATGGCTGGATGGACAACCTGATATTATATTTATCGTTATGTCATTATATTATATTATCATTTTAACCAGCAGATGAACTGGTTTTAAGATTTTAAAATTGATCCGAACAGGGTCAAGGTGAAAAATCTGAGAGTTTTTCTTCAATAGCTTCCTGCACATTTGAAGTGGACTTTAAGGGGCGTTTCAGCACACACTTTTTGCTAACAAGAAGCACTAGACTTGTTGGTGGCGGAGGCATTTGGCGCGTTTTCCAGTATCCCTATAGCGGGATTATTTGCATGGGGACATCTATTTGCTTTACTTGGTATTCTCCTCGGCCTGGAAATTTGCTTAAATTTTGCAAAACGTTTGGCTGGAAACGCTACCAGAGAGAAATCTCTACTCCTTTTCAATGTTATTTATTTATTTATTTATTTTTATATCTAGCCAGAAGGTGTTGATTTCATTTTCTATAACCGATGCCCTCACGATAGTGTTCTGGCGCTTTGGATGCTCCACATGATCTAACCTAAAGAAAAACATTATAATCGTCGACATGGAGACGTTTTCAGGAAGTGTTTTATTTTGCTTGTCGGCGAATCTATGCATCATGATGCGTATCAGTGTATCTTTAGAATTGCAAAAAATGAAGGATGGCTTTTGTCCCGTTACGCAGTGAAATTACACATTAGAAATTAGAACCACAACTCTTTAAACTAAATGAACAGCTGATGTATTGAAACTTCAGTATCGGTAAACGAATTGAGTTGTGCTTAGTGGAAATGAGGCTTTTTTAAAAAAAAACAAACAACGTTCTGTTGTATTACGATCTGAGGATCTTCCTTGTCTTCACTGTCGTCAGTTGCATTTCATAGAAACTATATTTGTACAAGGCTACGGTGACTCACAGTCTCCAGCATGCAAATGTCTATAAATCTGTGGGAATATGGCGAAAGTGGAAAATGTATTCCGGAAAATTGGTTTCAGCTTGCTGCCGTTTGCATCGACCAGATGGCTTTTAGACCAGAGGTATTCTAAACATGGCAAGAAGAGGCGATCAGCATATAGCCAACACATATTTAACTGATTTAATGACTAAGTTCATGCAGTGTGAGTACTGGATGTGAAAACCTCAGGTTTATTGGAAAGTGTTGTGTAATGTGTTGGTAAAGCAGTTAGCCAAGCCCTTCTGAGCTCAGACAATTTTTCTGTGGAAACCCGATTGGTTCAGGTCGTCTTCGATAGCACGAGAGTAAGAGGAGATCTGCTTGATTGGGGATGATTAATCCGGTTTCCATGGATACAAAGCACATATTTTTTCTTGTATTGTAATATTATATCGGTGAACTCATTGCTGCTGATCTGTTTCATAACTGTCTCATGTGTTTGTTATTTATTTATTTTTCGTGTAGACGCTCCCCAATTGAACATCAGCGTACGAGTCATCGCCTTGTCTTTTTCACTGCAATAAAATGGGAGATGAGTCGACGGATATGTTAATATGGAATGGTTCGAGCGAGTGTATTTTGATCTCTCCGATATGAACCGCGACCTTCTGGAAGCCCCATCCGTTTCCCCCTCGGTTGGTGGGGTGTCGCCGCGTTCCGTCAAGCGAAATTGAGACAATGCGTTTGAGAGTTAAATTGAGAGTTCACTAGTCTGAAATAAAAAGTATTTTATGTGGCTCTCCTAGACAAGCACGTTAGAGTTTTAACATGCTTGGTAGTCTATCTAGTAAAGATAGTATTCAACCAACCCTGTCTATTTTGCCAGTTTTTTCACATCCAAAAAAAATATGAGCAAAAGTGGGAGGAGTCTATTTTCCCAACCATCCCCCATCCCCCTGCCCCCTTGATGGGATTCATCCGCCTCTGTCTGTTTTGCCAGTATTCTCGCATAATTACGGTAGGTGTTGTTGGCTAACAAAAGCACATGAGCAAAAGTGGGAGGAGCCTAGTCTTCCATCCCTCCCCGAAATTTTCATCCATCATTCCTGTCCAACTTGTTTGCTGGCTTGTATTTAGCCATCAACAATACATGCCATGCGTGTTAAAGGTTTATGGTGTCTAGACTTGCATCTCGAGAGATGGGTTTCGTTTATGTATAAGTGTGCCCCGAAACATGTCCTGGTATTGAGTATTTCCCTATAAACCGCATTGGTTGGCGTGGTGGTGGAGTTTCTGGAATCCGATAGATCAGATAATACACTTGGGTCTCTTGGGTGAAGTCACGGTTTT